AAAAAAACACTAGCTTTTCTAATCTTTTTGTATTCTATCTATTTGTTTTCTTTTTATTTATTATAAAATTACCAAAAGCAAAAAAGGCCTCTAACACTAGCTTGCTCTATTCTTTTTCTATTCTATCTGTTTTCTTTTGATTTATTATGTAATAAAAAAAAAAACCTTGCTACGTGCACTGCGTTAAGATAACTGAGACTTGTAGCATTTGCATTTCATTGCTCTTTTGTTGATTTTGATTGCTTCCATTGTCCTCATTTGTAAGTTGCTTTGGATAAAAGCGTCTGCTAAATGACTAAATGTAAATGTAAATTATTAAAATTCTGTCGCTTGGGTTAAATTAAAAACAAACAAGCAAACAAACAAACAAGAGACCAGTTTTATGTCAGCTGTAGCCTACTAAAGGTTAGTGAAAGGCAATCATTTTAGTTTGAGCAGGTCATTTTTAGACCTTTGCCCAAAAAGAAGGTGGGCATCAAAAGGGTAATGATTGAAGAGTGTAATTTATGCACCATTAGCATTACCAAACTGATTTAATAAATAATGACTATTTACTTTTTTTTTTTACAGGTTTATTTGACAGGTTTTTCGAAACACTTCACCACCTCTCACACTGATCAGCCCCTCCTTAAACTTATGCAATTGATTGGGCTTTACTGCGATCATAATGCATAAAACGATCAATGTTTTAATGGTGTTTACACTCATCAACATAAGCATTTCTTTGTCTCTGCATATTAAACTTAAATTTTTTAACATTGAAATACCTTTAAAATTTGACTGCCTGTAACACTATGAAACATTCCACCCTCAATAAAGATGTGGAAAATGTGTGGAAAGTGTACCTGTGGCCTGAGCGCTGCAGCAGGTGGTTTCTGTGGCGCATTGCTCTCTGAGCGTCGACACCTCGCCCTCCAACATCTCCAGCCGATTCAGGAGCTCCTTCAGGTCCGGCAGTCCCTCCGTACAGCCACACGCCTGCTTGGGGATGTTGATGCGGTGGGTGAAGACGATCTGATTACTGCTGTCCAGTGTGTGGTCTGTTACTTCTGAGCTAGATGGTGCATCCTTCTGTTCAAGATCTGAACCAGCGGGAGAGTCCAGATTCGCAGAGCATAAAGAGCTGCCGGGAACTTTGATGTTGTAGACGTGGTTAAAAACGAGCGGTTGGGAAGAGGTCGGAAGGGTTATGTTGTGTATGCCGGGAATCGTCAGATCTTCCCGTCGGTGTCTGATCATCTTCTTTACCAGGCCGGCGTGATTTAGAATCATCAGGGTTGCCAAAACCAAACAGCTGAATGTCAGGCCTCCTGAACCCATGTTTCTGCACTAATGGATGCTTGTCTTGGCAAAAAGGCCTGCCTGGTGAGTCTAGATAAAGTGCTGCTGTCTCTGAAAAAGCAAACACACAAAACATATAATAAAAAGAAAGAAAAAAAGAAAACTGTCACTGTAATTGCAAGAATAAATAAAAAAATGCAGAAACATTTTGGGAAACCCATTCAAAGCACCATCGTTTCAGACATAATTGTGGTAATTATTCATATTTTGAATTAGTTTTTATTTTTGATTTCTATTTTAATTTTAATTTCAGTAAAATTTGTATTTTTTATTATACTATTTAATGTTTTAGTTTTAGTAATTTTAGTACATCAAGTTAAACTAAATAAAGAAATACGTATAAGTATATTTAATTTAATTTATTTAAGGTTTACTTTATTTCAAGTATGTATTTTTTATGGGTTTAGTTAACTATAACCTTGATTTGAATGCATTACATTAAATGTGTAAACAGAAAGTTTCACAGAAATTAAAACGAGCACAGAAATAATTACTTACACACTCTAAATACAGTAAAAAGCATTAAATGACAAGAAAGTTTTTCTTCATGCAGTGTTTAATTGCAGCCATTAATCTTTAAAGTGATAGTTGACACAAAAATGACAAAAGTCCATGTCATTGTCAACTACAGTTTATATCGAGTGCAGCTGTCAAGATAAAAATAAAAATATATATATATATATATATATATATATATATACACACACAAAATCTGCACCAGTTATTGAACTAAATTTATTGCCACTACATCTTCCAGGACTATGAGGACCATCGCTCATCACTATCAATATCCTTATTGTTGAATCATATTTCAAGTTATTTTTTTATTTCTCCAAGACACTCTGCCAGATTTCTAAAAATATAGTCCATTTTTGTCTTTGAGCATATTAATAAAATCTGGCTTTCCCGTCTGCACACTTGATCTGGGATGACTTCATATCTGGACATGGAGCTGTGTAATTTGTGGATGGTGGATGGGGGCCAGAGTCTCGGTCTCCTCCGCAGCGTGGGAACGCTCATCTGAAGCTGGTTCTGGATGTCCGCGCTGCCTCCACATGTCTCAGATGTCTGAGCGTGTGCGATGCTGGAGAGGAAAACTCGACTGCAGGACCTCAGAGTGATTCAAAAGAGATATCACCACCTACACGGCCACAGGGACTTCCTGTCTCTGCTGCGTGCGTGAGCGGCACTTCCAAACGTGGAGGAAACCGATTGCAAAAGCCATTTATTTTCCCAGCCGTTCAATGATAAGCTTTATGCCACAAGTTGGGGCGTGAAAACATGCACTGCATTGTCTAGAAGAGAAATACCAGCTAAAAACTATAATGACAGGTTAGTGACAGTCACAGGTCGTCTTTGTGATCAGCTTATGAATGACTTTCCAGGGTTTTTATTTTATTTTTTGCATTTGCATAATTTGAGCAGCCTATAATGAGATGCTTGGAGTCAAAGGACTTTAATCATGTTAATAAGAGTAACCAGACAAGACCTGCTCATTTCAATGATGGCCACACTTTCCTGTTGCTAGAATACGGAATTTGTCTGAATAGAATAGAATAGAATAGAATAGAATAGAATAGAATAGAATAGAATAGAATAGAATAGAATAGAATAGAATAGAATAGAACAGAACAGAACAGAACAGAATAGAACAGAATCTGTAAGCGACATGTTTTGGAATAGCACACAAACCATCTGTCAGATATCAGTGAAATATTACAGGTGTCATGAGAATCACACCTGTATCTGTGACACAACTTTGCAAACAGCACACACACACACACACACACACACACACACACTCAAGGGAGCAGTTAGGAAACTAGCCAATCAGAAAGGATTTCTGCCTGTCAGTCATTTCTCTGGAGTTATTCATTTCTGAGAATCAGTTCGAACAGTCTGTTTCAAAAAATCAATTTAAAACACTGATTTGTTTGTTGAAGTATTTTAAAATAGATATCAAACTGGCTAATTGAATTTATAATAAATACAAGTATTTAAACACATGACCATTCAAAAGTTTGGTCTGTATTTTTTTGGGTAGGGGGACATTAAGAGACATGACAAATAAACCTTCAAATATTATAATTCTTTGAGTACACTTATTTATAAAAAGATATAATGCATTGCAACGTACATTATGAATACCTTTATAATGCATGGAGCATTATACATACAACTTTAACGTTTTACCAAGTTTTTAGGTTTTTGATAGAAGTCATAGAGAAATACAGTAAACTGTAATATTTTGAAATATTACAATTTAAAAAAATAAATTTGAATATATTTTAAAATGTAATTTATTCCTGTGATGTGCAGCTGTATTTTCAGCATCATTACTCCAGTCTTCAGTGTCACATGATCCTTCAAAAATCATTCTAATAGGCTGATTTGCTGCTCAAAAAACATTTCTGATTATTATCCATGTTGAAAACAGTTCATAAACATCATATTTTTTGTAATTTTTTTAAAATAATTTTTTCAGGATTCTTTGATGAATAGATCAATAATGAAGAGTTCAAAAGAACAGTATTTATTCTATTTTAAATAAATACTAAAATAAAGAAAAGTCTTACAGAGGCACAAACTTTTTAATGGTAGTACTGTATACCAAGTAGAATATCGCATAACCAATAATGTATTACGATATGATCTTAACAGCTATATCACCAAGCCTAGTTGTGAAACGTTCTCATCATTTTTGCCTCAATTAATCATAGCGCGCTTTTATAACAAACAGCCAATGATATGCCATCATTGCAGTGCATAGTGTGAATAAACGTTTGTGCCCATAGATGTCAACTAGATAGAATTCAAGTCTTAAAGACTGAATGAGAATCTGATGTGCAGCATATTGACATTTCCTGACTCTATAATGGTCAATGGTTCATTTTAACGGTCAAATCCCTATTTTATAGGTGTCCACATAAACGCTTCTCATTAAAGACAGACGATTTGAAAACTGCTGGTTGGAATCTACAATAGGTAGTAATTATTAACACCCTGAAATTGTCCTTTCTAATCATTAAGTCAGCCAGAATGACTCTGGACTAATAACCTAAACGATCTAACAGTCTAGAAATTCAGCCAAATGGAAAACTTTTCCCTTTGAGATTAAAACAGCATGTAAAAATGTTTTATTGAAGGCAGGCAGTAACGAAGGCAACACATATAGTTAAATAACCATGCTACAATCCATCACGCTCCCTAAGGTCGCAAAATTCTGGACTTTTGGTAGTACCTAGGATAGCAAAGTCCACTAAAGGAGGTAGAGCTTTTTCGCATTTGGCTCCCAAACTCTGGAATAGCCTTCCTGATACCGTTCGGGGTTCAGACACACTCTCTCTGTTTAAATCTAGATTAAAGACACATCTCTTTGGCCAAGCATTCAAATAATGCATCTCATAATCTTTAACTGCAGTCATAATCTTTTACTGCAGTTATATCTAATCAAATGCACATTATTATTCATTAGTTTGGGTTCCTCAGAGGATCTCAGATGATGCCAACCCTGAAACAACTTACAGAACTACCACATTTTGCTATAAGTTTGATTGCATCATATAATAATTGCTGTTAATATTGTTCATCGTCTGTTTTATTATGTCTTATATTGATTTTTCCGTTCTGCTGGTTCGTCTGGTCAGAGGAGAACTGGCCCCCCGACTGAGCCTGGTTTCTCCCAAGGTTTTTTCTCCATTCTGTCACCGATGGAGTTTTGGTTCCTTGCCGCTGTCGCCTCTGGCTTGCTTAGTTGGGGACACCTCATTTCCAGCGTTATCGTTGACATGATTGCAAAGATATTATTTAAACTGAGCTGGATGCTGACATCACTGAATTCAATGATGAACTGTCTTTAACTGAAAAATGAGTGTTTACTATTGTCATTTTGCATTATTGACACTATTTTCCTAATTAATGCTGTTCAGTTGCTTTGACACAATCTGTATTGTTAAAAGCGCTATATAAATAAAGGTGACTTGACTTGACATAGTTAACAAGGCAGTGGACTAAACCAGACCTAGCAGATATCCACGGGATCTTGCTCGCACAGTGGACATTGTGCATGTGGTTCTCATTTATGGCTGCTGGTTAAATGAGCACCATCAGTAGCTGTAAAGTGCAGTAAAAATGGAACAGCAGAACAATATTACTCAATTCTTGTCCATGATTTTTTTGACATTTTTAAAGTCTTTGTTAATTTAATAAAGATTAGTCTATAAGTTTAAAATGGTAATATACATAAGTATGCGTATATTTATTGTCAGAATATAGCTTGGAATAATTTGATTTTTTTTTAAGTTTCTTATTTTCACCAGGGCTGCATTTATTTGATAAATAATTCAGTAAAAAGAACAATATTGTGTAATATTATTACAATTTAAAATAACTTTTTTAGTTGTGAATATTTTCTTATGTGTGATGCCAAGCTGAATTTTCAGCATCATTACTCCAGACTTCAGTGTCAAATGATCCTTTAGAAATCATTACAATATGCTGATTTGTTGCTCTTATTTCTTATTATACAGACAGACACATAGACATGTGCAAGCATTTTACATTATGTACTGTGAATTGAAAACAGAAGTTTTAGTGGATAGCATGAGAATATTCAACCTATCCATTTATGAATCCTTTTCATGTGACATTTTTGAGTTTTTTAGGTTTTTCTTCGAACACTTTGCCAGCTTCATAAAAATGCTTGAATAAAAAGCATGCAATCTGATATTTGAGATGCATAGTCATCACATTCTCAGTGCAATGACAGCCTTTAAAATGCATTAAATGTCTATTCATGACCAGACAGAAAAGTACAACCAGACATTAAAATGCAATAAAAAGCATTTAGAGTTTGACGCAAATATGATGACAAAAATGTGAGATTAAGAAAGAAACAAGTTGCTGTCGTTTGTAAATAGTTTTTAGGGTGTTCTAATATAAATATAAATATAAATATAAATATAAATTAGTGCTG